GTGATCTCAATTATAAAACATCCTCTCGTCAGTCCCAGATTTGGATCTAGTGGAATTGTGAGATAGAGCTCTTAAGACGAGTGCTAAAAAAAACACATGACAAACCTTTGTTAGCTTTAGAGCAAAAGCATGTGAGAACTATCACATTAAAAGTCTCAGTATATTTTTTACTTTTGAGGAACTCCTTTGAAGATAATAAGTACCTTTTAGGTATTTGAAATTGAATGAATGCAATACTGTTTAATTGTTTGAATTCTTTCTAAAAATTGAAGACATTGTGTAACACCAGAAAAAAAAAATTCCCACATTATGCCACAAGTGTGATAGTATCCTACTTATGTACTCAGAAAGTTCTTCTAAAATGAAGACTTTTTGCTATATTTTGAATCTGAGAAAAAAGAAATGTGAATTACCATATAGATGGTAAGCAGGGGAAGGTTGAAATCAATAGAGAGGGAATTTCTGGACAGCCAGCAAGCTACTAAAACTGCATTTCCTTCTGAAGTAAACAGAATATTAAATACTTTACATACAATAGAAGATATGGATTGATTCTTGTCTTATATATGACTTAAGGGTTTAAGATAAATACTTGAAGAAATTTTAGTTGTGACCAGGTGGTAGTTCCCATTAATGCATTATTAAATAAGACAAGCTGTGTGATTAGAATTAGCACATACTTCAATAATGTGTTGAATTAAATTTTAAATCTTAAATACATAGGACTTTTATTTAATATTCACATTCAAAAGTATAAAACCTTGTTTGAGGACAACCTGGAGTGAAACTGGAAGATACATTTCTGAATGGAACCAAGGCAAAATGATAAGGATGCTGGAAGCATAGATTGACTTTCTAATTAAGTTCTCTAATTATTCAAACTGTTCTGTACAGTTCTTCCTATAGTGTTGGGAAGTCACAGGGGTATCTGCTCACATACATCAACTTGCTGAATTCATGTCTAAAATATGGCATGGCCTAAAAAGAAAGACTTTTTTTTTTTCTGATTTCTAATTAGCATCACAATTGGAGACATTAGATTTTTGTTCCTTTCTAGCTTCACTTCTGGCTTCAGACCACATTGCTAGTCAGTAATTACTGCCAAAAAGCAATGCCAGCAAGTGTAAAACCAAGTATTCAGAATGCAGGAATAGAATAGCTGCTTTTTCCAGGAAGATTAAGATTGTGGTTTTACCACAGCACTAAATAGAAAAGAGCCTTCTCGGGGCTTGACAAAAGTTAAAAACAAAGGAGGAATTGCTCACTCAGTAGGGTGATTAAGTGTCTGGAAGTACTGGGGTAAAAGGAGGTGTCTCAGTGCCCACCAGTAGCAGATTCAGTTCTTAGCAAGAGATATAACACCTATCATTTTCTGCAGGTTTTTACTCAGAGCTCTAGCTAAGTACCTGAGTTTGGATTGTTCTTCAAAGTTAAGATTTAGAAGCTTCTTTTACCTTTTAGGTGTTTTCTGGCAGAACAATGTCAGAATATGCTTTTATTTATTCATTTATTTTTATTTTTATTCTTCTTTTTTTTTTTTTTTTCTTTCCTCTTTTAACTTGCATTTGAGCCTTCTCAGGAAGGAAGCCAGAGATAAGTTTGCCGTCTGTTTTTTTTTTTTTTTTTTGTGGCTATAAATAAGTGATATATAGATATTTGTTCTGCTGACTATTATTACTTTTACTCTCTTGAGGACTTAGGTGGTTAAAAGCTTTATTTTATATTTTTAATTTGGACTTAAATGTAGGATGAGCCCTGAGCTGTTTATCAATAAACACATGGTATTCAGATCTCAGTGTATTCAAAAGCATAATGTTAGCTTACGAGGGTAAGTCCATGTACTCACTGTGTATTAGCGCCTCAAGAACTACTGAGTTGTGTGAGAACTTCCAAGTTTGCTTTGGACTTGTGTGGGGATTCAAGACAGCATTCAGAATAGAAGCTGAAAACAAGTTTGTCAGGGTGTGGAGGAGGACACTGAGAACAAAGGCTGTCTCCAGGAGACAAGAGCAGAAGTCAAGTGGGGTACAGAATCTCCGCGTGATGATGACTCTGACAGGAGGAGAAGGGCATAAATGGAAGCAACTTGTGGCTCTGATTGGATGAGCTCTTGCATGAGCAGTTAGTGTCTAGACGTGAAGGAGACTTGTTAAGTGTTCTGTTGATGTGTTGGGGGGGATGGAAAGTTACAAGAGGGAACTTGGAAATGTATATAAGAGGCGTTAGAACCTGCAGTAAAGGATTGTCACTCACTTATTTTTGTGTCTTCAGACGCTGTAGACTTGCACTATTAGCAGTTGGTTGTTGAAGTACTAGGTGAAGTATTCGTATTGTTGTCTTTCTTTCATTTCTAGAATATTCTGGGGATTATTTTTGTCAAAGCAGGCTTGGTGGGTAACATGTGCCTGATACAACCTGCTGCAATGTGTTTGCCTAGCTGAAACTTCACTTCTTTATTCGTTTGATTTGAACACTGAGCTGCTGGTGGTTTGGATTTGTTGTGTCTTTGAGAGACCTGTGTTTTAGAACAACTGCTTGCTTCTTTGTAACCTGGATTAAGTGGCAGTCTTCTACAAGAGAGTATTACCAAGAGATCCATCGGATAAAAAATAAAGGCAGTTCTTGTGTTAGTATCTAGAATGATTGTTTACAGGGTTATGTGGAGATTTGATGTTCTTGTATGTTGCACTGAGTGGCTTTTCTGAAGAGGGAACAGTGGATACAGGGATAATGTAAGGGAGAAATCGGGGATGAGATGCCACAGCAGTGACCTAGTGTTTTAAGGAAGTGATTCCAGATATTGAAGAGAAGCTTTTAATTATATATCCCTGGTCAATTTTCATAATGGCATACTATTCAATGTATGCTATGACCTGTGCTTTTTGTCATCATTTATGATAATAAAAGGTGTATTGCCTTTATTAAATACGTACTGCTGGTGGTACCCTGATGTTGAACATTATTTTTGCTTTGTGTGCTCAAGAGAACTCAAGTTGTGTATACTCTGAAGTGGAAATAGAACTGACATAAATACATAGTGTATAAATGCTGACAGCAGAGAGCTATATATGCATATATGGATAGTGCTGTGTCTCTCTGTGGGAAATGGTTAGATAATCCTCACTTACAGAAGCATTTCCAGCAGAGAAGGCCTTACCCCTGGAAGGAGCGGCAGTACTGCATACAGATTTATACACAGTTTCCAGCATTGATTTTTGGTGAAAATAATAATTCAAATCCTACTCTAGCCTAATTCATGTATGGTTTACTACAATTCTTGCATATCAATGAAAGGAGGAGTAGATCATTTCCAGTATATTCCTGAAAGAAGACTAGAGTTATATTCCTGTAGCTTGTGATTGCTGCATTAGTGCAGCATTTTCTTTGCCTTTGACACTCCTCAAATTCTTCCTCCATTCAAATTGGCCAATAACCTACTTATGATTTCCATTCTAATTCAAGCTCTTATCAAAGAGAACTTGCTCTGAGGAAATTGTAAAGAGTTTTTTCGGTAGTTATTGTTCTTGCTACATTTTTTTTTTTTTTCTGATACAATAAAATCTGCTTTTAAAACATGATGCATAAAGATACTGAATGAGAACAAACTCAAACTGATAAATCAGGTGTAATAGTTTACATTTTTATCTTCCAGATCTCTCGTGATGTTTTAAATTCATGTCATTGACTAGGAGGTTTTGTAAATGAACAGTCAATATTTAATTGTTATCTTCCTTTATTAATGGCAACTACTACAGTAAAGAAAAGACATCTTGGGGTATTCTAATCTGAGTGGTAAAATCTACAAAGTGTTTCAGATACAACTGTTTTAAATACTACACAAAATCTCATTTCTTTCAAACTAGAAGAAAATCTACTGTTTCCATCTTATCTATTGGAATGGTACCTCACAAGAGTTAACAAGTCTTCAAAGAATTTTCACCTAATACTATGAGGTGAAGTGGCTGTGTGTTTCAGGGGAAAAAAAAAACAAACAAAAAAACACAACAACAACAACAAAAACCCAAAAAAATGCAAAGGCAGGAAGAGTGAGGGAATAATTTAACCATGGAGAGGAGGCAGCTGAACATGTTAACATGGTCAAATAAAACAAAACAAAAAGGCTATTTAAACTCCTTGCAGGATTTAACAAATAGGAGCAAAATCATGCTTATTTCATATTAAATTTGGAGTATATTTAAGACAGCATCTCCAGCCAGTCAGAGTGGTGTGATTCTCCCACTATATTTGGTGCAGTTTCATATTGAATTTTGCAGTGAGGATGTTGATATACTCGAAAGCATCCAGAGCAAGGCAACAAAGCTGGTAGTAATGCAGGAAGTTATGCTCTGTGAGGAGAGGCTGTGTACACTTGGAGAAGAGGGGCTGAGAGGTGACATCACTCAACTCTGCAGCTCTCTGAAGAGGGGAAACAGAGGGGCATGCTCAGATCTGCTCCCTGGCAATGTGTGGCAGGTTGCAGGAGAATGACATATAGTTCTTCCAGGGGAGGTCCAGACTGGATATTAAGAAAATGTTTTTACCACTAGGGTGGTCAAACACTGGAACAGGCTTTCTAGATATACGGTTGATGCCCCATGCCTGTCAATATTCAGAAGGCATTTGGACAATGCCCTCATTTCATCAGTTTGAAAGCCAGTTTTGATATAAAACAAAGTAAGATCAAGAACCTGCACAGGAGATCCTGTTCTTAGGAATAAAATAGCAAGATGGATGTTGTCAGATACCCATGGATGTGATCAACAAACTAACTTCTATGTCTCCGCTAACTAGCAAAAAGGGGAAAAAAAGCTTCCTCAGATGTTATAGGGGAACTGCTAGGTCACAGCTTAAACTGGTAACTGAGCACCTGGTGAAGGGGTGTGGCTAGCCATGAGAGTACAGACTGTTTGCACCAGTGTTCCCTATGTGATTAGAGGGGGTGGAGCCACCCTAGGCTCATGTAAGGCCTGGCCACTGATTAGGGAGCTTCTCTTGGACCTGGGCTGCTTCCTGTGAAGCTGTGCTGCATAACCAGAGATTCTCTTCAGCAGTTTGGGTGAGTGTGGCTCTTTTGTGTATATATGTTTTTTGGCATACTTGTAAATACTTTGCCTGGTATCCCTAAGAACCTGTCAGAAACAATTTTGCTTTCTTGTGAGCAGAACTGTTGTTGTGGGTTTTTGGAATTTGCGCATTCTGGATTATAGCCTGATTGTAAACCTTCTCTTACTAAATGACCCAGAAGAAGAATGATTTCAACTGGGGTCCTCAGTAACAAGAAGCCTTTAAACAAATTAGACAGGAAGTAGTTAATGTAGTAATTCTTAGGCTAGTATGAGCAGGACAAAATATGAAAATGATGTTCTATATTACACCTGGGAAGAATGGTCCCACCTGGAACATCTGTTTAGTAAGTATCAGGACAGATTTGAGGCCAACCCCTATGGTTTTGGAGTACAGGGTAAAGAGGCTCTGAGGCCTGTTCTCCATCTGAAAAAAGAGATATTGCTAGCACATGAAGAGATATGAACTGCTTTGAAGTGGTTGATGCTGAAGCACAGTTGCTTTTGGCACCCATATTTCTTGTGCTGGGCTGGACATTCAAAGGAAGACTCCTTTCACATCATGTTATCCTGATCATGTTATATGTTATCCTGATCATGCAGTGGGCTCAAATAGGAAACCCCAGTCATTCAGGAATCTTGGAAGTGATCATGGACTGGCCCAAGAGTAAATCTTTTGGAATATCACCGGAGGAAGAGGTGGCATGTGCTGATGAGACCCTGTTGTGCAATTAACTAGCAGAAAATCAGTAGCAATATGCTTTGTTCACTGATGTTATACTGTGGGAAAATATCAGATGTGGAATGTTTCCATGTGGAGTTTTCTACAATGAGTTGTAGAAGCTGTTGAAGGAAAAGGTGAATGATTCAATATGCAGAAGTGAAGGTTCAGTACTTTGGGGCGGTAAATGAGTATGTTGCTGACAATGATTCTGAATCAATGAGTGTGAAGTGCTGGAACAAGCCGCTGCAGAAACAGTATGGCTGAACCTGAGACATGGTGAAGTAGGAGTTTAGCATGCTCTGTAGTAGTAGAGCAGCGAATGAGGCAATGTAGCATCTGATTTTTTTTCCTTGGCAATATATGCCCATTGACCTTACTTAAAATTTTGGGATTTGTGATATGGTTGTTTTTTTTTTTTTTTTTTTTGAGTATGGAAGAAGGAAAATAACTGTTACAGCATTATTTATTTATTTATTTATTCCTGCTTGCTCCTATACTTCTCTTCTTGCACTTTACTTTCATTTCTCAGATTCTTCATTTCTTGTTGTTCTGTTGTGAAATTCAAATTGTTCTTCTGAATGTTGGATTGTGCTAAAAGTGTGTAAAATTGTGTGTAAAAGACAGTTTTTCCCACCTTCTTTCTCATTGGGAATAAGAGCTGGGACATGAACAAAACTTAAAGGAGGAGCTGTTTATGGACAAAGATGAAATAACATAAAATATAGTTTGAAGATCAGAAAAGATGTTTGAAAAATCTGCGTAAAACAGTTCAGAAGGTGAAAGTTTGTTCTCTAATTAGCTTTATTATTAGATCAGATTGCCAGGATCCAACCTGGCTTTGAACACCTCTAGGGATGGGACACCCACAACTTCTCTGGCCAGCCTGTCATAGCTTCACCACACTCCCAGTGAAAAATTTCCACCTGACATCATCTGCCTCATATCTATGAGACTGTTCTCTTCTTGTGGCACCTGGGATGCCTATGGAGGTTGCTAAAATTCCATGTTAGGTCACCGAGAATGAAGACTATGTGATTTCAAGCCTAATTCTCATAGACCATTTATAAATAGCCAGAGATCACTTTTGATCCCAGAAATTGTATTTAAATATCAGGCCTATCACTTTTTTCTGACCTCTCAAATAGACCTTCTTTTGGTTCTCTAAATGCATTCAGAAAAGCCGTGTTTCCCCTTGTATCAATCTTTGGCATGGGAACTGCTTGGGTGTTTCCAACAACTAAACCAGTGATTGTCATGGAGTTAACTAGATCAATCTATGCCTGTGACAGGGGGCAGTAAGCCCCTGCCCTCCCCCCCCACCCTCCCTGGCCCCACAAAATGGGAAGGAAGGAAGGGAGGAAAAAAGAACAGCAGCAACAATCTATGGAGGAAAACTTATTTTACTATGATATCGCAATGCAAGATAACACAGTATAATACAATTGAATTGAAATTGAGACTAATAAATAAGATAGGAGAGAGAGAGTTCCTGAGGCCGAGTCAAACCTGAAAAGCTTGGAACAGCTAGGAAAGCACCCTCCAGCACCCACTGCCAGGCAGTAAGAG